GACGTGTGACGGCGTCTATGGGAGGGAGGCCGATCGCTTCATTCGCCGCTTGGCGGAGCTCATCAACAAGAGGGGCGCATGGGACAGATATGGTGTTGGCCGGGTCGAGCAATGGATTCGGGCGCGGCTGTCAGTGTGCCTGGCTCGTTCGGTGTCTGCGTGTCTGCGTCGGCCCAGGAGGAAGGGCCGGTGGCATTGGTTGTATCAGAGGGGGCGTTGGGGTGATGGGGCAGGGATGTTCGTGCCTGGGGAGCCTCTCATTTTCTGAGGGTGCCCCCCCTGTGAGTAGGCGTGTGGGGATAGTGTGTGTTGATTGGCCTGGCTGCCTGTCAGTCTGGTTGGTAGTCTGTCTATCTGTCTGTCAGTCCGCATGTCTGTCCACTGCATTCGCGTGTGCTGCTCATGAGCATTGTTTGTCCATTTGAGTGTCTGTAGCTCGTTATCATTGCATTGCGATCGACTGTTCATGTTTGTCCGTGCCGTGGACCAACGCGTGTGTGGCCCCCGGCGCATCGTTACACATCAATCAATCTCTTGTGAAACCGCTGGAGGTGAGACTTCGACACGTACTTCCGCAACAGGAACGGACACCAGCGAGGTCTTCTGAGCGTTGGCACTGCGGCACAGGGCAGATCTGGAGAACGTCACCACCGGAGCGCTAGCATTCTAACGGTCCGCCGCGACCGAGTGTTGGAGCCGTCAATTGGCCGTCAACGGCGACTTCCTTCTGTGTCTGAGCCCTGCTGCCTCTTTGTTGCCGTGCCATGAGCAGCCTTCTGGAGCCGTCCGTGAGTGTCCGATTTGCCTCGTCGGCCCTCTCGCGATTTGGGTACCTGGCGCGCTGTGCCCATGTCATCGAACAGACTGCGGGGTGGCCGATGATGGCCACACTCATCAAGGCGGCGAGTGCGTGTGGTCAGGCTGGCCAGATGCCCTTGGTGCTGTCGGCCGAGTGGCTGGCGGGTGTCCTGCCTGACAAGGCCAGCTTCCATCGGCTGCCTATTGCGATGGCCGTCTACAAGACGCTGGGCCATCCGCTGGCAGAGGGGCTTCGGCTGACGGAGTTTTATCACAAAAAGGAGATCCTTGTCGCCCGTGTCCTGCTTGCGGCATCCTACATCGTCTTCCTCATCGTCTTCCTCCTTTTCCTCGGAGCGATCGGTTATATCTGCGTCATGCTGATGATACCGTTAACGTTCCGCATCAGGGATTTGCTTCAGGAGGAGAATCAGCTGGGGGATGAGGTGTTGGTGTGTCGGTGCCTCATTGACACCATTCCTATCAGCGCCTCATCCCGTGTACGGCTCGTGGTGGTCCTCTTAACAATGAATTACGTCATCGCACTGACCTTGGGGGTCTGCTTAACAAGCACAGCCGTGAAGGCCAGCTGCGCAGCAGGACTGTGGTGGCAAAACCTCACAGCACTACCGCATCGGCGAGAGAACGTTTCGCGTCATCGGTCAGCGCGAGGAATCCTGTTGCGGCGAATGGAGGTATTCCGAGAGCGACCCGCCCGTCAACTCAAAGGGCCGCATCTATCGCTCATTCAGCGCACTCGCCCTTGACGCACTGATGGAAGTCGCATCTTTCAGCCACAGGACGGTGGTCGAGGCCGAAGTGGGCCGGAGCCATGTCGGCTATCAGCGCTTCGTGTGTGATCCCTTGACGAGCGGCCAACTCGATTCGTCGGTTATCGATTGGCGAGCGGCAGAGGTGGGGACAGTCCGCATGGTGGTGCTGCTGGTCGGTGGCCTCTCTGTGGTGGCCTCCGTATCGCTCTGTGGCGGACGCGTCATGATCAAGACGACTGAGAGGGAGGCGGTGGGCGGCTCGTCTGTCGATGAGCGGTTCCCTCTCACGATGGCTGCCGTCCGGCAGCTGCTGATGCGATTTGGACTCGAAGACAACACGGTCGGCCCACTGCAACCTTGACTGACCGTCACTTCGGTGGGCGGCCTGGATGTGTGTGGGGGAACAAGAGATGGGGTGAGAGAGGGGGCTGCTCGGTGTGCTGGGGGTGCTGTCACGTCTGGATCGACGGATTGCGACTGAAGGAATGCGTGATGGGCCTTTACATATTTGCCGATAAATGCGTTGCAATGCATTGATGGATAAACGGCATATGCACACCCTCTCGCGGCAGTGCATCCATCCAATCCGTTCCCGCATATATCTATTTACACACCCCACCATCACAGGCAGTATACACCATCAGCATACACATGGGAAGGCGTACGAACGTGTGGAGGCATAAGTGACGCATAGAGAAGCGAATCATACCTCCGTGCAGACACGGCACCCAGCCGATGCATGCCCTTCCCTCTCTCATTCCCTACACGCCTATGTCACCTACTGCCCGTCCACCACATGCAGCACCTCCAGATCATCAGCCATGAACTCTACCGACACGCCCAGACAAGCATGGCCAGAGCCCGCAAGCACATTGGGGCCGGGGTGGTTCTGACGGCAGCTGCGCATGTCGGCAGTCAGCTCTTCACTGCTATGGCCCAGCCACATATACCCACCGATCCGCACCTTCGTACCATACACTTCCTGCCTCCCCGCCACATACACATGTTGCTTCTCTCGGTCGATGTCGATCTTGGTGGGCTGGGGGAAAAGGCCGGCCAGCGAGAAATGCCACAGATCACAGTCGTAGGCGTTCCAGTCGGTGGGGTCGTCGGGCAGCTTCAAACCGCCACTGACGAAGGCGCCGAAGACGTACTCGTCCTTGCGGATGACAAACACCAATCGCGTCTTGTCGCCGACACACCGCAGCATATCGCCGTAGGTGGTTCCGTCACGCGATGCCCTGATGCAGACACAGTCATACACAGTGTTATCTGAGTGTGTGTGTCGGCTGCATGCGTACCGGTAGAGTGACCGCAGCTTCATGGTGTGGTCGCCCAGCAGTCCGACAAGGCCGTAGTACTCCTGATGTGTCAGCGAGGTGCCCTCAGGCAGACTCACCTGCCCAGCCACACACATATGAGCATGGCAGCAGAATGCATCTTTGCTGTTGGATCGTCCGTACCAATCGCATGCGCATCGCCAGCAATGAGAGAACGGCCTGACGGGCTAAGTGGTTTGGCCGAACGTCAGCCTCCTCAGTCTCGTCCCTGACCGATTGGAAACATGAGGCCATTCACACCCATGTGTGTCCCCTCCATGTGTCTGAGTGTACCTGCATTCGGGGCACTTGGCTGCACGACGGCCATAGGGGTGATGGCGCACGAGGTTCCTGACACACTGCAACACAGCACAACAGACAGTGCAGCAAAGAGCCGTGCAGCCTCGGTCTGTGTGAGCCACACACCTTGGCACAGAATGAGTGACCTGAGAGAGATACCACAGCAGGTGCGGACACAAACCACACAGGCGGTACATAGTGTGTTATCACGTCCTCACCGCATCTGAGCACTTCCGGTGCCTTGTCGCCGTCTGGTTGGTATTCCTCCTGACACACGCCACACTCAAGCGTACCAGCAGCAGCAGCAGATGAGGCGCCATGTCCATGCGTCAACCTGCACGATGAATGAGTGAATCCATTCAAATCATTGCCACCATCGATATCTCACCTGCAGCTGGTGTGTCCTTCGTGTCTATGCTATTGCTCTCAGACAGCTGCTGCAGAACCTCAGATCTACAGTCATTCAATTTGCAGAGCCAATGCGTGCGCTCGGGAGTGTCTGCTGGCCCCACTGCCGATCTGACCTGGCTCGATGCAGCCATGAAAGAGCCCAATTACTCCAGAGGCGAGGATTCGAAGCCAACGGGCCAGAGGGGTTACAGGGTAGGGTTTGAAACCCTCAGCCCTACGAGCTGTCAACGTTTGAGTGCCTTTCCACAGCTGTGCGTTGCGAGTGTGACGCATTCGCTGAGAGAAAGGCGTAGCGAATCAGTGGAGTCATCCGTCACACCGCCGCCCTGTCGACTGGTGTGGTGGGACGGCGGGCCGCTGAGCTGCCAGATAGCAGAGGTGAGAGGCCACTGATCCATTCAGTCGCCTCAATGCGCTGACCTTCTTTGTCTGTGAGCATCTCTCTCTCGTGTGCTGTCGGCTCATCAACCACTGCAGGCGTGTTGGTTCGGTGATGGCGGCCTCCTCATCTGCCGCTGCTGCTGCTGGTGCTACTGGCAGCTCATCGTCGGCCAAGGGCGACGCAAAGCAGCCATGCGGTCGGTGAGCCACCACATCCATCCATCCATCCATGAGCAAGGCATATTTCATGTGATGTGTCCTGTTTGTGTATGCCGTGGTGCTTATCTATGGGTGTGCAGGTCATAAGTTCCATGGGCAGGTACGCATCTCTCACTGTACCGACAAGAGACCATCGCAGCAGCATATGTCTTATGTGTGTGTGCACCTCTCTGCTGGCTGCAGTGTCTGCTGGGCATGGTTCGCCCGCGCCCCTTTGGCTTCACTGCTGGGCCGTCTGCTGGCCTGCCGAAGTGCAGCGGGCGATGTGGGAGGGGTGGCAGTGGCAGCGATGACAGTGCGGCTGGCGGCCAACAGGGTGGGCCTCAGATGCTGACAGTCCACGGTGAGCAGCAGTCGACACAGATACAGAGAGGTGCAATGGGTGTCTGCCTTGTGTGTGTCATGCAGGCCATTCTGTGTGTTTGGAGGTGAGTATCCACAGAAGGTCATGAATGGCCCCACTCACTCAGTCCTCCTGTCTGCCATTCCTTCCTTTGTCCGTCAGTGTGCTGTGCAGTGGCAAGACTACGGCCGTCATAACAGTGTCAGCCAGCCAATCTGCCCCGTATGCCGGTAGGTGCACATCTGACAACACACATGGACAGATGATGCACAGCACATTAGCGTGGCCATCCCTCCCTCTCTGTGTGTCTTGGTTTGTGGTGCGGTGTTTGTCAGGGCCGGCTTTGCGTGGGCGAGGGGCGGCAGCTCCATCGGCCTCTCGTACGTGGCGCACATCGCCAAGTGGCTGCAGCGCGAGAAGAAGCTCACACTCATCTACAAGTACACACACAGACACTCACACACACGCACAGTCATGTGATGTGTCCTTGATGTGTCTGTCCATCAGGGCATTGCGTGACGGCGCCAAGTATGATGATTTGCTGCGGTGTGTGGGCGATAAGAGGCGATTGGTCTTCGTCATCCGCAAGGACGAGTACGTCTTGGGCGCCTTCATCAGTGAAGGCCTTCAGCTGCCCGACGACCGCACCGACAGCCACTACTATGGGTGTGACGTGTGGTATTTCTCGCTGGGCGGCCACTTCGCCCAGCCGACCAAGATAGACATCCCACGAATGTGTCAGTTTGTGTATCTGGCGGGGAGGGATGGGAGTGTGGGTGGTGGTGCGAGGGTGGAGCTCGGTGAGTGTCTGTATTTGGGTGACGGCCATGGCAGTCGCCGGCCCGCTGCCGACATCCGCAGCTGTTATCAGTACGCCCACAGGGACGATGTGCCCGCGGGCTATGTGGTCGCTAGAAATAGATATGGCCATGCCCTGCTGGGCGGGTCGGAGTGTTTCCATGCGGATGAGATTGAGATACTGACTGTGGTGGCACAGTGAGTCAGTGAGGGGGGAGAGAGGGACGGGATGCATTTCTCCTGGCTTTATCTATCTACCCATCGGTGAGCGTCTGGCGGCCTCTGATGTCGTGTCCGACTGTGACGTGTGGTATTTCTCGCTGGGCGGCCGCTTTGCCCAGCCGACCAAGATAGACATCCCACGAGGATATCAGTGTGTGTACGTGGCGGGGAGGGATGGGAGTGTGGGTGGTGCCGCGAATGTGCTGATCGGTGGGTATCTGTGGTTGGGCCACGGCAGCGACGAGCCGGCTGCCGACATCCGCAGCTGTGCAGAGTTTTCCGATAGCGGCAGTGTGCCTGCGGGCGATGTGGGGGAGAGGGATGGCTACGGCAATGCACTGCTGGGCGGGTCGCTGTATTTCCATGCTGACGAGATGGAGGTGCTGCATGTGGGCGGCCGCTGAGTGAGAGACGGGGGGAGGGGATACCGTGTCTCGCCGCCCAATGAACGGCTGTGGGTGTGAGGCGGATGGGATGGTGTACAGCGATTTCCCTTGTGTGTGTGTGTGCATATGATCCTATCCCATATATCGGTTTGGGGGAGAGACACTTACGTCAATCAATGAGTCAAGTGTCCTTACACTCATGGCATGCATTGTTCCTTCCCGACCGGAGTTACTGCACACACGTCCTCAATCTACTCTACAATGCACTAAACTACATACACTGCTGCCACACGGTCTACACATTGAAGTTCTGCAGCCCGTCACGAATCACCAATGCACCAGCCTGACAGACACGCACACACACACAATCCCACAGAAGTGTGTCCTCGTTTGTACCTTTGCGTAGGTTTCGAGCAGCATCTTGCTCGACGTGTGGCGCATCACGGCCTGCAACACACACACAGCACATCCACACAGATAGATATGGACTTGTCCATCCACCCGCACCCGCTCAAACTCACCTGAGCGACGGCGAGGGGCACCGGGGGATTGAACGTGGCGGACAGAGTAGCGAACGAATGCCTGCAATACAACAAAGAGACAGACAGATGAACATACTCATCAACACACGTGAGTGTGTGTGTGTGTGGCGGCTTGCCTGAGGATGTATGGGAAGACTCTGCGAGTGCGGCCGTCCTCGGTCACATCAACACCAGCCCTGCACACACACACACATGTCAAGCAACCAGCCACAACGAAGGAGAGAGAGAGAGATGGGGACATACGACCACGCTCACACACACACAAATTACCTGCGGGCCGTGTTTTCTAGAGCGAGCTTGAAGCACCCTGCCAGCCACACACACATTCACACGTGTTTCTGGATTGGCTGCGCTCCCTGCCGGCCCGCCTCGCCGCCAATTTTTTACGAACGTATTTCTTTTTGCAGCGGTTGCGTCTTCATTTGGTCCTCGAACACGCGCTGGTAGAAACACCGACCTGCGCGGGCACACCCTTACTCATTCAGTGGTCCATCCATCCATCCATCGGTGTGTGTGCGTGTGGGTATGGGTATGGGTACCTGTGCGCGGCCTTTTCTCCAGCTCCCACCTACACACACATATGGCTGATGGATTGATGGTGTTGTCCCATGTGTGTCGGGTGTCCGTATGTGTGTTTGGCGGGGGGGGGGGGGCCTACCATTGTTTCATTTCTCTGAGTGCGATGGGCGTGAGGGGGATGGTGGCACCTGATGTGGACGTCTTGCTCCCTGACGCATGCACGCACACACACACACACAAACACATCTGGTGTGATTCATTAGCGTGGTTTGGGTGTGTGTGTGTGTGAGTACCTCTGACTCGCAGAGTGGCCCTGTCCATATCGACATCCTCCCACCGAACCTGCACCAACTCGGAGGGTCTCAAGCCAAGACCTGCTCACACAACAAAGCCACGCGTGTGTGTGTGTGTGTGTGTGCAGACAGATACACGAACACACCCACCTGCGCCGAGCCCGAACAGGGCTCTATACATGGGAGACGAACATGCGTCGAGCAATCGACGCACCTGCACGCAGCGATGGGGATGGAACACACACTCGCAGACAGACAGACGGACACGTGCGCATGGCGTACCTCGTCAGCGGTGAAAGGGATGATCGGCCGGGTGCGTCGGGTTGACCCCTGCAGCACGTGCACACATCAACAGATGTGCAGAGGGTCAACAGTGGATGCATGTCTGTGTATGGTGTGACCTTGATGACTCTGAAGGGGGGCATCTTGGCGACGCGGCCCGAATACACACCATACTTCAATGCGGCCTGAATCACAGACACATCGCACACACCCAGGGATATTCTGACACGCCAATGGCACCCACCCACCCACACACGCACTTGGTATGCTGCCTGGTGCAGTGAAAGAGTCCGCGCGCTGCAGCCTCTCTCCTTGAGCAACCTGATATATCAACGGATCCACGCTTGACGCCATGGTCTCACGGTGTCTCTGTGTGTGTGGGCGATGGGTGGTATCTGTTTACCTACCTTAGGTAGTCTTCCCAGTGTTTCGGGGTGAGATCAGTCAGCGGCACACTGCCCAAATGCTGCTCACACGCACATCATCACATACACAGAGGGAGGAGGGCCATGCCATCCGTCCGTATGTGTGTGTGTGGGGACACTCACCTTGAGTATGTGTGTCCAGAATCCCTTTTCGACGCGAATGGTGTGCGCGCCGACCTCCTCTGCCCTACAGGTGGGTGGGTGGATCCACACACGCACACACGTGTGCTGTGGAGTGGAGTATGGGTGAATGCACTGACTGACTCACCTGACGGGCAGGAAAGTCTTGGTCACGAAATCTTTCAACGTTTCCTGACGGACGAATCGATTATCGTGTTGACAGACAGACACATGCATCGATGGATGCACACACCGGTCGTTCGTCGATCTTGAAGCCGCACTCAGGGCAGAAGCGGGCCTTCTTGGGCAAAGACGCCCCACACGACGGACAAAAACCTGCGACACACACATGACTGCGCCCTTAGAAGAGAAAAGGTGTGTTCGTGTCCCGGATACCTTTGTTGGTCTTGGCAGCTCCGGCGTCTTCTTCTTGTGGGTACAGAGGGGCAGCCGCCTGAAGCAGAAACAGAGGCATATGAATGTCTTTTCGTCTTCCTCCCTCCCTCCCTCCCTCCCTCCCTCTGTGTGTTTACTGACGAGGTGTTCTGCCCTCTGGCGCGCCATTTCTGTCTGCCGGATGGCCGTGTCAGGCCGCCTCGGATGACGATGCTGCTGATGGATACACACATGGACACCAAAACACACGTGAGGGCCTCTCGTGTGCGCGTGCACTCACCCCGTCTGTGTCGGTGTGGTCGGTGAGAATGGTGTGGATGATGTCGGCCTTCCTCATGTGCTTCGACACATAGCGATCCATCTACACTTACAAGAAAACACACAAGTGGGTCTGTCTGCATATTCACGCAGGAACGCCCATTTCTTTACCTCTCTGCAGATGCTTTTGAGTTCCACCACAGTCAGCTTCTCGAGCGACGCCCTTGTGTGCCGATGGTGTGCGCCGCTGTGGTGATCCGCACCCACTGCAGATGCACCCGCCGCGCTGCACACGCGTAGACCACACACAAGAAACACATTCAGATGGTCACAGGATTGGTCTGCTCGAGGGGGAGGGAGGGAGCGCACCTGTCATCGCTTTCTGGGTCTCCTTGGTGCTGTGTGTGTCGGTCGCCATTGGCCGTCCTGTCGTTGTAGAGCACCAGGCGGTCAATCAGCTCGTCCTTGCGGCCTTTAGCCGACACACACAATGTCCGGCTGTCATTGCAGACACACACACATACACACATACACACATACACGTGGCTGTGTGCATCCTCCATCCATCCATCCATCAATGCGTACCAGATATCTCTCAGCTGAGTGACCTTCATGCCCTCGAGCGACGGTCGGTCGAATGGCCCATACCTGTAAGCACACACACAACACACGTCTGTGTCTGACCCCACTGCCTGCCGTAGAGCTCACTGGTCACTCATTGTAGTTGTTATGGGCGGCATGGAGGGTATTGGCAGCGGGGTGGGGTGGTCCATGACATCTGCACGCAACGCAACACAACACATCACAACGAAACTCACAGACACATGACTGTTGTGTTGTGTCTGCTTACGTACCTTTGCTGCCGCTCGTTCCTCTTTTCCCAAATGACACAGACGGGCGCTGTTTGCCACACACACACACACACACACACACAGAGAGAGAGAGAGACCACACACACACTCACGCAGCGCGCCCAAGCGTACCTTCACAGCAGTTGCGGCATATGCGTGCAGGTGTGTCGTGGCAGCCCTCTCATCATGCGACAGGGACGACGGCAGCAGGAACACTGTCGGCAAACGCATCACCGCACGGCTCTCACACAAGATCTCTCAACAGCTCGGCGCTGCTGGGTGTTTGTGTCATGGCCCTCGGAGGCGAGCGCAGGTCAACAGAGCAAACTCGTCATCGGCCTCACAGCCGTGGTGGATGGCTGCAAACAGACGGGCAGACAGAGGAGGACAGAGGAATGACTTGCAACCCAGTGTCCTGTTGAGGTTTCAATCGGCTCTCTCTTCCCACCTGTGGGCAGCCTGGCCGCCCTCTGATGAGTTCGGGCTCCAAACTCACCCAGATCTGTCCGCAATGGTGCGAGCTCGAGTGAAAAGAGTTTCCTCTTTCTTTTCCTTCTTTCTTTCGCTGGATGGTCCTCTGGACTCCCACTGGCCAATCTCGTGCACTGAACAAGGGAAAGAAATGTGTCAGCTGTGAGAAAGAGGGCAATTCGATCCTCACTCGATCACCGACTTCGACAAATTCGTTTTGCTGTTTTATCACATCAATCGCTCCGCAGGGAGACCATTCACAGGACGAGTGAAAGAAACAGCCGAAAGGAGCGCAGCAAAGGCTGGGGGTTTGGCGGGGGCCTAAAATGCGAGCTCACATTCTTCGCCGGGGATGCAGTGAGGGCAGATGGGCTCTCACCCACAGTCTTAGAGGGCTTCAGATCTGCTTCGCGTTGCTGCAGCTGACAAAGATCTCTCGTGGCCTCGTTGTGTGACCGACGCAATGTTCCTCCTCGTGGTGAGCCAACAGCCGCTGAGCCGCCTTGAGGCACCGTGAGAGCACCAAGAGCACTGACGTACGTGCTGGGCCGTTTGCTCGGCACCATTGGTTATCTGTGTGTGTCTGTGCAGCAGGGAATATTACACGCACTGCACACTGTGTGTCAATCAGGCGGGAGGCTCAACTACGGCCTGCGTGAAATCGTCGCGCAGCTGCTGCCAGCAGCAGGAGGCGGCTGACTATGCCATGGCGGTGTGCATATCGCAGGAGATCAACGCGGAGCTGCAAGCCGACGTGTGAGCGAGATGGTCAGATAGAGCTGAGAGGACAACGGACAACACAAATGACATGACGTATATGTCTATGTGTGTATCAGATTGATGCAATCTGACCAAGGAGGTCGTTCAGTGCCGCTGGGTGACATGGCTGACCGAAAGGTCCGCTTGCCCAACTCGCCCACGCCCGTGTGAGCAGCATTCATTTGGTGGTGTATCTGTGACCGACAGACATGCATCGGGAGCGGCACATCGCCGTCGGGCGAGTGCTATGAAGTGGTGTGTGACGGCACCGGGAGAGCCCCCACGGCCAGCGAGGGGCGACTCATTGGCGGCATCGACAAGGTCTGCGATGACAGTGGCGTTGCGAGAAGGGGAGGTGTTTCTGTCGATGCGGGAAGGGGAGGTGATGCGGCCATGGGGGCCTTGCTGTGTGCAGCTGCGATTGGTCAGCATTTTGGCTGACGAATGAATGAAGTCTTAAGCCAACAGGCTGCATTGTTTTGGGGTGAGGTCTTTCTTGCCCACTGACTGACAATGCTTTTTATGAATCTTGTGGACGAGCGAATGGATGGATGGATGGAACACAGGACCGCTCCTTTTTGTGGACGGATGCTGCCCCATTGTGAGAAAGTGTGTGTGTGCGTGTGTGTGTGTGTGCGCGCGAGAGACGGCCGTCGATGCTTCCTGCCACACATATGGACAGAAGAATGCATAGACACTGGCCAGACGCTCAAAGGCTGATTCAAATCCTTTGGGCGAATGGCAGGCAGCGTCTAGCCGTGTGTGTGTGCGTTGAATCTATCTGTAACCGAGACGCTCGTCAGTGTCAATACAATTCAATCGACACACGACGAATCCTCCACACACTTGCTAACTCAGTCAGTCAGTCAGTCAGTGTCTGCCGTCAGCTCTGCGATCTATTTGTGCCTCGAGTCGTGTCCTCTCCGTCTGGACGAAGCCGTGGGTTAGCTGCCCTTCGTTGCGCATGACCTGGTTGTACAGGTCACGGTGCGCCTCGAACAAGCCCACTGATGGCAGCGGCACACCATCGCCATCACGACCCACAGGCGATGCACCCTGGCCCTCTGCTGTGGCTGCTGTGACTGCCGTGGTGAGGGCTCTGGCCCACTGCTGCATGAGGTGGGGGTCATGCGCACCCGTTGGGCGGTTGTAGCGGGCCATGTCGTCTCGGTGGCGGCCGACGTCGGGCACAAATCGGGTGAGGTACTCGCCCTTGGTCGAGAAGCGATGGATATTGGCTACGTAGTGGCTCGTGTTCTGAACGCACGAATCAACGAATCAATGATTCGTTCGATCGTATACACACAAAGACAAGTGTAGTGTGTGTGCGTGTGTGTGTGTGTGTGTGTAGGGTGGCTTGCCTGCTCTAGTTCGTCTCTCATGGGCTGGAATGGGCTGCCGGGTCGCATGATTGTGTTGCGCTGGGCCGTCTTCCAGAGGTCGGGCCACTCGATGACGTCCATCAAACGCCAGTACACCTTAGGTACACAGAGAGTGGATGGACACACAGAAACAGACAGACAGACAGAATGCATCTCCCTCTCTCCCTGTGAATGTGTGTGCGAAGGAGGGGGGCAGGGGAGGTACCGACCGAGACGATCCTGCCGTATTCCTCGAGCAGCTGTCCCTCAGGCGGGTGGCTGCACACAACACACAACAAGGCAATCAACCACCCAGCCATACATTCATGCCAGCCAGCCACGCAGAGCCTCTCCCTCTTTTGCTCACTTGCTGAGCATTTCGAACGTGCAGTGGATGACCATGCTCAGCGCCAGAGTCACCTCCGTCTGCCGGTATTCATCACACCCAGGGCTCTCCTCCTCCCCCTCCTCCTCCTGCTGCTGCTGCTGCTGCTGCCGCGGCTGGCCTCTGGGTCTGGCCTCATCCAGGCATGTTGCCCACAGGCAGGCCAGCATGCTGGCCCCGTCGTAGCAGCGCCCCGCCACTATCAGCTCGTAGGCGGACTTAGCCACGTTCCCTGTGAATAGCACGCACCGGTAGAAGCCGTAAAACTCGCGCTGCAGCTCTGCAAGAGTGGGGCGCTGTTGCTGCTGCTGCTGGCTGTCGCTGCGGTGCTGCTGGGGCGGCCGATTGTTGTCGCCAACGACCGCGGGGCTTTCTTCGGGAAACCTGTGCGGGGCCGCGCGCGTCGCCTGGTCCTGCAGACATGCACACAGAGACAGATGGGCCTCGATGGATGGATGGATGGGATCATGTGTGTGATTGTGCATGGACGCACGGACCTTATGTGTGAGTAGGAAGCTGTTCTCGCCGTCTGGGTCGAGGTCGACGATGACCTCTGTGAGGGCCTGGGTGACCTCGTCGGGCTGGCCGGCCTCCTGCGGCCGGAGGAGCTCCCTGATCTCGGGGTGCTGACGCATCGCCTGATCCACCTGCTGCCTCAGCAGATGACGGTCCAGTGTCACCGTTGCGTGCCTCCTGTGGCCCCTGATGCATCAAGGCAAATGCAGGGCACAGATACACACACATCCACGGCTGTCTGTCGGTCTGTCTGTCTGTCTGTCTGGGTGGGTGGGTCGGTTGGTGCCTACCATGTGTTGCGTGTGTATGTCCAGTGGTAGGCGACGAAGAGGAAGATGAAGCACTCGAGGCTGCGGAGTCGGGGGTCGTGTGCCTGGTCCTTGACGGCCTGCACGTTGAGGGCGTTGGGCTGCCAAAAGCGAAGCATGTAGTAGCAGTCACCTTCCTCGTTCAGGTACTCGTGGCGACGGCCCGCGAAGGCCTGTTGGTGGGACATACATACAAACATGTCCATCCATCCATCCATCCGCGCGTGCATGCAATGCGTACGGTGTAGATTTCGGTGGCTTTTGCGAGTATCCCGAGGCGCCTTTCGTGCTCCTGCCAGTCGTCCACTCCTCGCTCAAGCGCCTGTGGATGGCCAGTCACCACCATGCATTGCGTTGCATGAGCCCTCCCGTGCGGTCTCTCGCATTCATCCATCCGTACCAGGTTGTCTTTCTCGATCTCGTCGATGAGGTGTTGGGGCACCTGCCGCTTCAGGTAGTCCACAACCAGCCCCCCATACTCATGCGCATCGCTGGCCACCACATCCGCCCCGCCCTCGCCGCCTCCCTCCCTCTCCTCTGTTGGCCAGCTGCCACCATTGCCATTGCCATTGTCATTGCGATTGCTCGCCTCTGCAGGGTGCTGGTGGTGTGTGGGTGGGAATATGATGCTGAGGTTGTCGATGCATCGGGCGGCGTAGGACTGGTCGACGTATACGGCGACGTAGGCGTTGGTGCCGTTGGCCGACCTGGTGCCCTCCGCATGCAGCATCACCTGACATGACACAGAGAGAGAAACATAGGCGGATGGATGGATGGATGGATGGGGAAGCACCACATGTGTACTGACCTCCTCTGATGTCACGGTTGACACGTTTGAGTCGCCGACTCTGTACCAGGTGCCTTGCACAAGGTTACGCAGATACGCCCAGTAACGACCTGCATACAAACATACAGTGGGAGAAAGGACACAACGGACACGAAGGAAGCATGAATGGCCACATTCACTCTCGCTTTCCCTCTACGCACCTTATCCAGCTTCACCCTGCGGACCCAAAGACAGGCACACAGCACACATATAGACACACAACACATGTTCTCTCTCCCGTCTGCCTGCCTGTATGTATGTATGTAAGTGTGCGTGTACGCACCTGGTGAATCCACAGTGCGTGCAGGTGGTAAGGGTGGTCCTGCATGTGCCCATGCGCCTTGTCGATCTTCCCCCTGAGCGTGTTGACCCGGCTCTCCAGCTCGCGACGCTGCTCCTCAACCACACTGGCCGTGGCACCCAACACACTCGCCGCGACATGGACCTTCTCAGCCGCACCATCGCCCAAGCCCGACAGCAGTGATGTAGCAAGTTCGTCGTCCGTCTGGTGGCCGACGTGTGTGGCCTTCTCGAGTCGCTCGAACAAGGTGGCGGTCGAACGGATGGCCGCCTCGCTGATATGGCTAAACTGCTGCAGCTTGCTTTCCAGCTGCATCGTGACACAGAGGGAGACAGGTGGATGTTCACACAACCCTCTTGTCTGTGTGTGCCTGGGGTCCCACCAGTGCTTTCTCCTGCTTGAGCTTGGCGCACGACTTCCTGATGGCGAGTGCCTCGGTCCTGTTGGCGTACATGAAGCGGTCAACGAAGATGGGCGTGGCGAAGCGGAAGGGGTCGTTGAGCTGGACCTGCTGCTCGGCCGTGTAGTCGAACACCACACGAGGCAGCTGGAAAAACAGCACACTCGGGCTGCGCTTCATCCACCACTCACTCTGCACCTGGTGTGCACACAAGACAACACAAGGTGATGCATACAATGGAGGACACGCCGTCTGTCTGTCTGTCTGTCTGTATGTCTGACCTGTATGGTGCTCCTGCCTGGTCGAACTCCTTCAGGCACTTGGTACTCGGCTTGGTTGAAGTTCTGGCTCTCCCATCCGCCGTACAAGTTCTGCTGCTTGAGGTCCAGAATCACCTGGTGAAACTCGCGCGTCTCGTGCTCTTCCAACACACCACCACTACCACTACCGGTCCCCTCCTGGCGGCCCGCATCTCTCGCACCGTCATCCATGACGTCGGATTCCCTGGGAGCGGCCGCAATGGTCGCTGCAGGTGGCTGGGGCCGCGTGCGGTGGAGCAGAGGGGCGAGGAGCGACAATGGCGCGTTGGCAGGAGCCGTCAGTACCTGACACACCGAAGAGCAATGCACGAACTGCCTACTCTCCCTCCCTCCCTGCTCATGCTCACCTGCACTCCCTCTCCAAAGAAGACCTGCCTGAGCACACTGACGCCCACATTGCCCGCCGCCTCCTGCTGCGGCGGCTGCTGCTGCTGCTGCTCGTCACCCATATTGCCCATGCTCATCTTGTCCGCTCCATTAGGTGCTCCTGCCGCCGCTGCTGCTGCTGCTGGTCCTGCGGAGTGCTGCTGTGTATTGGTGGGTGGAGATGGGAGGTGGGTGCTGACGGGTCGTGGCAGAACCATCGCACCCTGCATGAAGCCTGATGGGGTGAACAGATGCAGACAGACAGACAGACAGGGAGATGGTGTCGTGTGCGGCTTTGTGGGGCAGTCTGACCTTCCTCTAGCCGTTCGAAGAATTCGCCTGAAAACTGCCCCACATCCTCCTGTGTGCCTAAAGGGATGGACCGACCCAATTAAACCATCCACGAACCGCACACACCATTAGGTATGCATGACGGTGTGTGGCCGCAGCAGTGCAGGTGTGTACCGTTCTCGTCGACCAGGTGGCTTAGTACCTTCCTGGGGCTAACGCACTTGCGCTTCGACAGCAACATGTGCGCAAACAGACGGCGCAGCTCCAACACTATGTGTGAGGACAGCCACCACACACACAATTCCCTCGTACGTATGCCCGTGCTACATGTGCATGTCTGCCCCGATTGCACACCTAGAGATTGCGATGCTGTCTGTCCCCTCCGTTTAGCGGCGCTCGAGTGTCTGATACGACACACCAACGCGCGTAAGACTCTAGAGCCCCTTAGGCTGCATTTGTTGTCGTCACCGTCTCGCTGACTCCTCGCCCAGCGGCGCAGCATCGGCCATCGTACCCTCACCCTCACCGCTAGCAGCACTGCACAGACACACACAAAGAAAGAGAGAGAGAGAGATATGACGCCACCCAAGGCCCCTTGAAGTGTTCCCTTACTGACCCATCGGTGGTCTCTCTCTCGCTTTTTGCCGGCAGTTCGCTTTCCTCGCGATAGCGCAGCACACAGTCGACAAGGCCGGGCACCAGGAAGAGCGTCTGGAGGGAGAAATTGACGTGGTGGGCCGATAGACAGAGAGAGGGACGCACGAATGGACGCAGAGAGAGGGAGAGGTGCGTGTACAGGTATGTTTGCCTTTCGCAACTCACGGTTTCCGATGTGTTGGAGTCCGCACGGCTCGCCTTGTTTCCGTCCTCGCTTGTCTGGGCCTGACGGGTCGGCCGCATCTAATGGTGGGTCCGTCTGCTGCTCTGGTGCGATCTGCTGCTCCTCATCAGACATGGCGGGGGCTGACAGAAGTGGACAACACCACGGTGGTCGGTTGGTATGAGTGGCCTCCACATCCATCCCCTGGTGACCTGCACACACACACAACGCACCCATCGTCCATCTGTCGGCCGCTCACAGACAGACATACCTCCCCGATCATCTGACTGCACACGCAGCAGCGAGGCGAGAGCAGCCTGCACATCGCCCCTCTCCTCCAGAAGCTTCTCCCTGATTGCACGACGTCCTTTTACACGCGCCGATGCCTTTATGTGCTTATGGTCGCCGGCTGACCTTGCGGCCGCCTCGGGGAAGCCCATCTCGATGATTGACCGCAGCTTCTCGGCAAAACCACCGCCACAAGGCGCTGAAAGCCACATGGCGGGCCACGCACTGACGGGGCCCAGCCCTCACACAAGATCTCTCAAGAGCTCGGCGCTGCTGGCATTGAGTGTCTGTGTCATGGCCCTCGGAGACGAGCGCAGGTCAACCGAGTATCCATGGCTGCAGACAAATGAGGACAGAGGCATGACTTGCGTCCTAGTGTGCTATTGAGCTTTCAATTGGCTCTCTCTTCCCACCTGTGGGCAGCCTGGCCGCCCTTTGATGAGTTCATGCTCCAAACTCACCCAGATCTTCCTCCGCAATGGTGCGAGCTACAAACTCTTCCTCTTTCTTTTCCTTCTTTCTCTCCTGAATGGTCCTCTGGACTCCCATTGGACAGTCTCGTGCACCGAAATGGTCAAAGAAATGTGTCTATTCCGTGAAAAAGTGCAGTTCGATCCTCACTCGATCACCGACTTCGGCAAATTCGTTTTGCTGTTTTATCACATGGACCGCTCCACAATGAGCCCATTGACACGACCGGTGAGAGAAACAGCCGAAAGGAATGCGGCAAAGGCTGGGGGTTTGGCGGGGGCACAAAATGCGAGCTCACCTTTTTCCTTTGTGAGGGCTCCCGCGTACTCCTCCAGAGGGCTTCAGATCTTCTTCGCGCTTCCTGCAGCTGACAAAGATCTCTCGTGGCCTCGTTGACCAGCGCAATGTTCCTCCTTATGGTGAGCCCACAGCCGCTGAGCCGGCAGAGGAAACAAAAGGCCGCCAGATCTGCTCCATTGCTTCCCTTTGTGACACAGACAACAGAGGCATGTCTGTCTGTCTGTCTGTTTGTGTGTGTCATCTTAATGTGTGCAGGTGTGACTGACTGAATGGCTTCGACGCGCTGCTGGTGGTGATGTGCGCTGAACCAAGAAAGATCGGCCGATGCGCCGACGGACCTGATATGACTGAACTGAATCTCTCTCTGTGTCGTGTTTTGGTTGGGTCGGCCTTTTCCCCCTGTGTGTATCAGAGCGTATTATGTGGTTTTGCTGTCGGTCCGTCTGGCTGCCATTGTCATCTCGTCTCGGTCCTCTACGCCTCAGCCGTCTGCTGCCATGAGTGTGTCGGCCGATGAGTGGGGGGCGGGGGAGAGATGACAGACAGACAGACAGACAGACAGAGAGTGAGGATTGGCTGGCTGGCTGCACAAAGGAATCGCTGTGTGGGGTGGCGGTGGCCGTCTGTCTGTCGCTCTGCGGTGTGGGACGGGTGCTCGCGAGAGTGTGTCGATCTCTCGTCGATGCATCCGTCACACACGGCCGGCACACAGACAGACAGGCGGGCCGATACACACACACAGATAGCTTGCCTGAGAGAGAGAGAGAGTGTTTTGGCAGCTGTGTTTTGGTTTCGCCTTGTGTGTGTCCTCCCCCCTCTCCCTCTCTCGCTGTGGGCATCTGCAGGCACGTGCGGCAACCTCAGAGCGTCAGCCCGTGAAGGGTGTTGGTGCTTTAGGGCTGCCGGGCGGCGACAGAGATGCCCACAGGGGGGGCGGGCGAGGGAATGGACACACACACGACTGCTCACCCATCAGACCAAATATGAGGCAGTGGATGGGTCCTTTTGGCGGCTGCCTGTATGTCATGCTTATATCCCTACACAGAGAGGGATCTGTCTATCTGCTTGGCTGTCTGTTCGTTCTCCACGTATTCCATGTGTGCCTGCTGTATGGGCCACCACACTCACATGTGGTCACATGGATGGATGGATGTGTGTCTGTGTGTGTGTGTGAGAGAGTCTGGCTTCATAAGTCACAGTCAGAGAGAGAAAGAGCGAGCGTGGTGTCTTGGTATTTGGTGCTGCCTGCTGTCATTCGCTTGTCTGCCACCTTACACACTGAGTGTTGATCGTTCCTTTCTGTGTGGCCGGGGTGGCCATCGAGCGGCTGACTGACACACACCATGCATCCACACACACAAAGGGAAGGATCACTGTCTGTCTGTCTGTCTGGTTTGTCATGGTGTATCTATCGATGTGTGCGTCACTTTTGACTGAGTGACTCACGTGGCCAGTGGGGTGGGGAATGATGTGGGCAGTGAGCACACAGACACTGAATTGAGTGGATGTGTGGGTGTGTTCAATGAAGGAACGTATGTGCGAAGAAGACAGCTTCTCGCATTGGATACGCCAGCATCAGTCCAACAAATTGATTGGTGGATAAACGGGATGGATGTGCACACCCTCTTATGCTGCCGTCCATCCCATAAGCAGTCCATCCCATTATTTACAAGCACACTACACACCACACAACAGGCAGCAGATATGTTAGAAAAGGCATATACAAATGCGAGTGACACTGTCAGGCAAACACGCCACCCCAAAGACACACACCCATCCCCCCTCCCCCTCCCTCACTGCGTCACCACCTGCAGTATCTCGATCTCATCCGCCATGAAGTAGGGCGAAGGAAAGCTACCCCCCGTGCAGAACCTAGGCAGCCATTTGCTGTAGATCTTCTGACAACAGCTGCGGATGTCGGCAGCTGGCCAGCCACTGGAATGGCCGTGACCCAATTCCAGATACCCACCGACCTCCACCTTCGCACCACGACCCACACTCCCATCCCTCCCCGCCACATACACACACTGATATCCTCGGTGGATGTCTATCTTGGTGGGCTGGGCGAAGTGCCCGGCCAGCGAAAACCACCACACATCACACTCGTACTTGCGCCTGGCGGTGGGGTCGTCGGGCTCCTGAAGGCCGTCACTGATGAAGACGCCGAAGACGTACTCGTCCTTGCAGATGACGAACACCAGGTCCCACTCGTCGCCGACACACCGGAGCAAATCATCGTACTTGGTGCCATCACGCGATGCCCTGATGCACAGACATCCAGACACCAAGGAAGAGAGACAAGCCATGCATCTCTTCCTCCACTACAGCAGATGTCCGTCGACTGCCTACCGGTAGAGCAGCCTCAGTTTTGTGTTGCACCCCAGCCACTCGGTGAACAATCGGTCGAGCTCGTCTTGGCCACCGACCACAGCAGCAGCAGCAGCAGACACACTACTAGACGAGCCTCGACCACCTGTGTCCGTACACAAATCCATCCATCCATCCATCCAATCAGATGAGTATACGGCCAGGCGGGTGGACGTACCGGCTGGCGGTGCTTGTGGGTCATTGACAAACGGGCTGCCGTGGTCAGCCGACGACTGCACATCGACACAGACGCGGCAGAGAGCAATCATAAGTGCTCTCGTCGCCTGTGGCTCTCGCAGATGTGCGTACCTGAGGCGTGGGTCTAGACGAATGGCTACGCAGTCGAGTCGAATGGCTACTGGAACGGCGCTGCATGGTGGTGGGCCGTTCTCTGTAGTGCGCCGTGTGGTCGGCGGGCCACTCATCCAAGTAGATGATGCGGATCTCACTGGGCTTCTCCTTCAGCTCACCCCTAAACACACACACAGAGAGAGAGAAAGCTGATGTGACACTTGCCGAGCGTCTGTGGGTGGAGAGAGGGAGGGGGAGCCTTACGCCATATTGTCCTTGTATCCAACGATCGCCACTCTGAGGCCCAGCTGCAGGCAGTCGTCGATGGTGTCAGAGAAGTCCTTGTCGCCCGCAAACCTGAAGCAATGCATTCTGCCAATGCTCCCTCGCTCTCCTCTGTGTGTGTGTCTGTGTGCTCACAGAACTATCGTCGTGATTCCGTCACTGCAGCCGTCAGCTGATGAAGACGCCGCCGACCCTCTTGCACCGAGGCGCGAGTTCTCTGACACGGCAACCGTCACACACGAGTCATTCTCCACCTTTTTGGCCTTGCTCCGCTTTCTTACCATAGGCCGTTTTGAGCATCCGGCGGACTATCATGACGTCGCCGCCCTGCACCCAACCTGACACACACACACACACACACACACACACAGAGAGAGAGAGAGAGAGAGAGAATACATATGAGACCGCCCCGCACTCGTGCCGATCTCTGTCCATCCCGCTGACCTTGGAGCTTTTCGCCCCGTTCGCTGTAGCCGACATTCTGCTTCTTGAAGTCGCAGAGGGCCACAGTGACTCGCGACTTGATGCGCTGCTGGTGACGCAGCTCGTTGTGGAGCGTGATGCGCTTTTCTTTGCTGTCGCTGTGCCTCCCACGAGCCACCGTCGAGTACCTACACAAAGCACAGGCATGAGAGCACTCTGGCGTGAAGCGGTCTGTGTCTGTGTCTGTGTGTGTCACCATTTGTCGGGATCTCCGTCAACGAAGTGGGTCTGCACGTTCTCGACTCCCAGCGTGTTCGCCACATACTCGAGCATGCTGAGGAATGTGTCAGCGCTCATAGCAGACCCCCGCCTCTCCTTGAAGCTATCCTGCACACACCAACAGCACCCAGCAACACATGAATGCATCGTTAGCCCATGTGTCTGTGTGACTGTGTACGCGCCTGTATGTACGCTCCATCGACGATGAACATGGCTTTGGGCTTCGTCGACGCCATGCTGCTGAGGATTCGTGACTGCACTGTACACGTTGGATCTGCCGCTTCAATTCGATGTGTGCGGACCGGTCAGGCCCAACGACACCCAGTGGAACGACACAGGGTTGGTTGGTTGGTTATTGTGTTTAACGAGACTCGTGTCTGTAACCCCGAGGGGATCCTTCCAGGTCACGCACTAAACTAGCAGCATGCACATGCATAGAAGCATGCACACGGCCTGTCTCCCCATCCCACCCACCCACCCACTCGACACGCACGTGCCACCCTATGATGGTCAGAAAATCGCTGTCGACAACGGTTGCAGGTATATGAGAATGACAGCCAGACATAGGCAAGACACCCAGAGGCTAGTCAGAGAGCTCGACGTCGAGCGCCCACTGATCACACAGGGGCGCAGGGGGCAGATCTGTGCAGCAGTTCAGCGATCGGGAAAAGGCTTGCACAAGTGATGCGCATTCCACGGGCAGGAATGTTCTGTCTGTTTGTGAACAGAGAAGATGCGAACCATCGTGGGTATGGGTCATCGTCATGATTCATGAACAGCAGATGGCGTGATGCACTGCTCTTCCACACACTGGCCGCTCGTGTGCTATCGCTCGACTGCGCATATCAGACACAGCGTACGAGCAGGGTCAGCAGCAGGCCAATATCCCAACCAAAGCAACGTATCCGACTGGCGAGAATTTAAATTTTGTGAGACGGGACGGCGAGACTGCCGTCTTTTTTTTTTTTCTTTCCTTCGGCAAAATACAAAAGAGGACCTTAGAAACGACGACAACGACTTGCAGAGGCATCTGTGCCGCCGTCCTGCCCACCGGCTGTGGCTAGACTTGACCAACACGCCCGGACCGACTCGGAGCCCTGCAGGTAGCTGAGCACAAACACACGGAGCTGGGCGAGATGTCCTTCATTTCTTGCGCCCCCCGCCATCGCGCGTGCCAGCACTGACACCCATGCGGTCCGACAGCCGCCACCGCGCCTGCCTATTCTGTCCGGCAGGTGGGTGGTTTGGTTTGCACATAGCATGTCAGCAGCACATACATGCCTTCTAAGATGTGTATGCATTCGTGCAGGGTCCCTGCTGACGACCAGGCTGTTGGAGGGAGTGCCAATGCTCATCCATCCATCCATGTGCTGATTGCATTGCGTTTGTGTGCGTCGACCTTCTGCCTTCATGCCATGCAGCTGGTCGACATGGTCAAGATGCGGCGTTTCCCGGCTCCAGATGCAGGCGGCACACGGGAGACCTTTTCCCCAGCAAGTGAAAGTGTGTGGCCACTCTCTCGTGTGAACATACACTCACCTCGTATGCGCGTGTGTATTGCTTGCAGCTGGCCAGGCGAAGCTGGGCGTCGCCCAAAAGCGCCGTTTCTCATGGTGCGTTGTCAGGCTCGCGGCGCCCGACAACAATAGACCTGTCATTCGCTGCATTTGTCCATGCATGCAGGCACCCGTTGAGCAGCAAATGGGGGGACGGAGTGACCAAATGGCTGCACGGCAGTGAGGTGCTCTCGAGACTGACCCCCTTGCTGGTGCGCACTGCACACAGACACGTCCACGCTGCAAACACATGTGTGGACGGCATGTGATATATGTGTAGGGCGGCAACCGGCGCACTTGTGCGGAGATCATGAAGCTCACGGCTGGCGGCCACATGTAAGTATGACCAGACTCTCACACCTACGTCATGCACACGTGTGTGCTCACACAACGGACACAGGATCCCCTGTCCGGGCTCGAACCACGACGCCTTCTTCATCGCCGAGCACGCCGGTACGCCCACACCCACACATACAGACACACATAGGTATGGGTGTGTGTGTCCCTTTGTAGAGCGAGGTGTGACATCGCTCGGTTGCGCCGATGGCGTCAGCGCATGGGCCTCGATTCAGGGCTGCGATCCTGGGCTCTTCGCCCGACAGCTCATGGACGGATGCCAGGAGGCTGCACTGGCCACCGTCGCAGCAGCAGATGGTATCCACACACAGATGGTTCCGTACCGATGTATTCATTTATGTGTGCAACCACAGGCCCGGCGCCATCGAATGCATCGAGTGCGGCTGACGGAGACGGTGCTGATGTCGCGGCAGAGGAGACCGCCATGAGGTGCGTTATGTGTGTGCAGTGCACAGATGGACATGTGTGTATGTCTGTGGTTATTTATGTCTGTGTGTGCGCATTAAGGATAGTGCGCTTCGGGTATTCCATAATAAGAGCATGTGGTGGCTCGACGGCCCTAGTGGCGTATCTGGACCGGTAGGTACGCACCCCACCCGGACACACATGGGCTGGGCCGCAGACGTGAGTGCGTACGCCTTTCTGCACACATACATACACATACAGGGCGAGAAGCTGGGGGTCGCGAACCTGGGCGACTCCACATTGATGCAGCTGCGGTGAGCGTGCGCATTAGACGGGCGCATTCATTGTCCGTCATTCTCTCTGTGTCTCTCTCTCTGTCTTGCTGTCTCTCAGACGGCGGGAAAACGGCAGCATGGCAATGATCGAGAGGACACGCGAGCAGCAGCATGCATTTAACACCCCCTATCAGCTGCGGCGACTGCTGGTAGACACACCTACACCTACACCTACCTAGACACACACACACACACACACACGAATGGATGCATGTGGTCAATTTCCAGGAGGGGCTGCACGCGCAGGGTGCCACTCGGGAAGATACGCCTGCCGATGCTGACACGTACTCTCTACGTGTCCTCGAAGGCGATCTCATTATTATCGGCACAGATGGTACGCCACGCCACGCCACGCCACGCCACGCCTCGCCACGCCACGCCACGCCACGCCACGCCACGCCAACCGTGTGCGGCATACATGAGGCATGAGGCGCGTGTGCGTGTGTCCCTGTGGGGCTGTTCGACAACCTCTACGAGCAGGAGATCCAGGAGATAGCCGGATACGCCCTCTCTCCGTCTGAACGCTGCAGTAGGCGCCGACCCTACCCAGCCGCGAACACACAGATTACCCACTCTACCCTTTGCAGGCCCTGCAAGAGGACTCCTTCACGACGTCGCCATTCCACCTTGCGGTCGCCTTGGCCAAGGCGACGTGCGAGCGGAGGTGCGCACGAAAGGCGTGCTTCTAGTTCGTCACTGCATCGTTTGTTTGTGCTGTGGGTGCAGCCGACAAGCCGACGCCGACATGCCCTTCCACGACAGTGCGCGCAGAAGCAGGGCAGCCGTTTGCCGAGGGGGAAAGGCCGATTGTAAGAATTGCCATGACATACACACACGTGCTCACCGTATGCCCGCTTTTCGACCCCCACACAGGCGTCTTTGACAACCTCGGCGACAACCACATCCTCAACATTGGCAACATGGCCATATCGCCCTACGATGCACTGGTCGGTCAGACCTGCACACAGACAGGCGCGTGTACGGTGTGATCTTTGTGCATAGGCACTGAATTACTCGTGCCTTGCCACGCCGCCGTCAGCCATCGCCCGGGCCGTTGCCAAAGCCGCACATGAGAGGAGGTACACACGCACAGATAGAGAGAGAGGGTTGTGAGTGCGTGTGTCTGTGCGGGTGATGGCTTCGTTCAGCCTGGGGCAGCCTGAGAGCCCCACAGGAGCTGTGCAGGTTCTTTCACCATACGAATCGGAGGTGAGCCGGCAGCCCTCGGGACCAGACACTCACTCCCCCGGGAGCTGAAGAAGGTTCTTTACCTCGAACAAGGCTCAAATGGCTGCCTTATTGTATGTTGAACAGATGTGTGTGGGGATCGCTGCCTTCATTTTTATATTTCGTGGTCGTTTCCTTCGCCCGCTGACGCGACGCCGGGTAGAAAAAGGGACACACACACACACACACACATGGAGGGATACCGCGTCTGCGTCTGCCACTGCCGCTGTTGAGGATGAGGGCCCTTCCGAGACCGACCCGGACATGGAGCCGCTGGAGCTGCAGGGCAAGGGATGGGCGAGAAGACGGTCAGTCAATCAGCACCATTGCGGCCCCCCACACACCCCACTCACACGCATGTGTATGTGTGTGCAGGGCGTCTGTGAGCACGTCGAATGTCAGTGCGAGCTCGAGCACTGCTGAGGGGCTCCGGCAGACGTCGGGAGGTCAGCGCAGATGGTCGGCCGCGGACACCAGTGACGCACTCGGGTAAGAATGCAGCCCAGGCCCCGTCCCAAACACACACATACGGACGTCCATGTGTGACATGCAGCCCTGCTGCTTCGGCGACGCACGAGGACTTGAAGCGCCTCGAGTACGAGTCAAGACTGATCACTCTGCCCGTACGGACGCACACACCTTCAGACGGATTAAGGTGTGGGTCGATGTATGCTGCATACAGGACCAGAGAATGCGCTCAGGGCTCCGGCTGGATGCGGGATCTTACATGTGAGTGAGTGGCGTGTGTTGTGTATGGCACACAAGTAGTGCATCCGTGTTGGTTGGATGGGACATGCAGGATCCCGCGTGCCGACAAGCAATCGACGGGGGGAGAGGATCCCCTTTTCCTTTGCATGCGAGCAGGTACGTACCTTTGTGAGCAGCAGCTACGTCACGCAAATGTGTGTGAAGTGATCCGTTTGTTTGTCATCCATTCATTCATTCATTCATTTGCGTGGACCAACAGGGGCAGTCGGTGTGGCAGATGGCGTTGGCAAGTGGGGCGACAAGCTCGCCTGCAGCGCACAGGCGTAAGACACGTGCACATACATCCAGACAGACAGACACATCTCGACTTATTTCTGTCTGCCTGTCTGTCTGTGGGTGGGTGGGTGGGTGGGTGGGTGGAAAACAGCTTCGCCAAGGAGCTGATGCAGGGCTGCGGAGAAGCCGCTACCTTCTTGACCACGGCAGCGGCCGCCGACGGTACACAACACAACAAACATCCATCCATCCATCCGCGAGAGTGCGCATCGATATGTACATACCTGCAGGTTCGCCCATGAGTGCGTCCACAGCTGCAGCGGACACACCGACAAGCGCCGCGCTTCCGGCAGAGAGCGGCTCCACGTACCTGAGTGAGCTTCTCAACGACAAGGAGCTCCCTGTGGAACAGCAAGCACTGCGGTGGGCGTACAAGTGTTTGCGCATGTGCATCCACCTTCATCTGTGTGTGTCCGTGTGTGTGGTTTGCGCACGGTACGTGTACACAGGCTGCTGCAGCACGGCTACAGTGCCACACGCTCCTGTGGAGCGTCAACAGCCCTCGTGGTCGTGATGGACAAGCAGGTGTGCGAGTCTGTGTGTTGGCATTTGCGTATGTATCTCTCTCTCTCTCTCTCTGTGTGTGTGTGTGTGGGTGTCTGTGTGCATGTGTGTGCTGTAGCAGGGCGACAAGCTGGGCGTGGCCAACCTGGGCGACTGTAGCATGATGGTGCTGCGGTCAGTAATGAGGTCACACCACACACAACTGTCGTCGTGATTAGAGTGCACAGGCATGTCGCTGGTTGGAACTGTGTGTGTGTGTGTGTGTGTGTGTGCAGGCGCGTGAGAAGCAGCGACAAACTGGTCACGGTGGCTTTCCGCGCCAAGGAGCAGCAACACTCGCCCAACGAGCCCTACCAGGTGTGTTGCACCACCACACTCGCACACGCACTGCGTGAAGGTACATGCATGCGCTTGTATGTTATGTGTGCATTTCTGCAGCTAATGCGGCTGCCTGAGGAGACTGAGTACGACCGGCTGACTTCCAGCGGAAGGGTAAGTAAGCACGGGCACCAGAGCGTGCATGTGTGTGGATTGGATACGCCTGTATGTGTGCTGTGCGCGACAAATGTTTGCAGGGTGTCCTGGTCCAAGCGGTGCGAGCCTTCCGAGAGCGCGACCTCACAGAGGTTTGTTGAGGGGAATATGCGCTTCCTTCTCCGCTGCACCCACGTGTGTGCGTGTATCCCGCCCCACCCCACCCCACCCAGGACACCCCTGACATGGCCAAGCTGGAGTCCGTCAACGTGTGTGAGGGCGATCTCATCATCCTCGGCTCAGACGGTAAGCATTGCCATGACATACACACACGTATGCCCGCTTTTCGACCCCCACAGCCGTCTTTGACAACCTCGGCGACACCGACATCCTCAACATTGGCAACATGGCCATATCTCCCTACGACGCACTGGTCGGTCAGACCTGCACACAGGCAGGCGCGTGTATGATGTGATATTTGCGCATAGGCACTGAATTACTCGTGCCTTGCCGCGCCGCCGTCAGCCATCGCCCGGGCCGTTGCCAAAGACGCACATGAGAGGAGGTACACACGCACAGATAGAGAGAGAGGGTTGTGAGTGCGTGTGTCTGTGCGGGTGATGGCTTCGTTCAGCCTGCGGCAGCCTGGAACCCCCACAGGAGCTGAGCAGGTTCTTTCATCATACGAATCGGAGGTAAGCCGGCAGCCCCCGGGACCAGACACTCACTCCCCCGGGAGCTGAAGAAGGTCTTTCATCTCGAACAAGGCTCAAATGGCCGCCTTATTGTGTGTTGAGCAGATGTGTGTGGCGATCGCTGCCTTCATTTTATATTTCCTTGTCATTTCCTTCGCCCGCTGACGCGACGCCGGGAGAGAAAGAGAGTATCAACGTCATTCAGTGGTCAACGCCGAGTCGTGACGATAGACTGCCCACTGAATGCTTAACGAAGGGCGCACACAGTGAAGCAGACCGGGAGAAACAGAGACATGCTTATCTATACATGTCTCTCTCTCTGTCTGTCTGTCTGTATGTGTGTGTGTGTCTCTGTGTGCAGCGGACGGCTAACAGACAACCGATGATGACCAAGCCTTTGGATGTCGTCGAGCGGGCCTTTAGCTGCACCCGCACCAACAACGCCACGAATTACAATATCACTTCCTGCACGAGTACGTGTGTGTGTTCGTGGCCACAGCCGACGAGGCATTAGTTTCATCTGCCCACTGTGCGACCTCTCCGTGTGTGTCTGTGTGTATCACATCAGAGTGTTGATGCTCATCGCCGTCGCCACCCCGCAAATGAGCCGCTCGACTTGTCTTCGTCACCCGAGCCGGACGACAAAGGCAGCGACACAGAGCAGGAGCAGGATCAAGGTGGGTGAGGGAGGGAAGAGTGTGTTGGGTGTGAGGACGTCCGGACATTCAGCCATTCATCGGTTCGGTCGGTGTGTGTGTTCTTGTCTGTGGTTGTCAGGCTAAGTGTCGCCCCCTGGGCACCGCCACTCGTCGGCATCGAACACGACGAGGGCGTGCACAAGCGGCAGCGACAACTCCCCTATGTCACCCACCGTACGCAGCCCTACACCAACAGATAGAGAAATAGAGAGTCACGCACAGACATAGACACCCATGAAGCGCGGCTTTGCGTACTTACGTCAGAGGCAGCAGCAGCAGCAGCAGGAGAGTCAGCCGTCTGCATCTGCCGCTGCCGCTGCCGCTCCTGACGACGAGGGTCCTTCCGCTGACGCTGACCCTGACATAGAGCCGCTCCAGCTGCAGGGCAAGGGATGGGCCATTGCAGCCAAACCAGCACCATTGCAGCCACACACCCTCCCCCCACTCACACGCATGTGTGTATGTGCGTGTGTGTGTCTTGATGTGTGCAGGGCGTCTGTGAGCACGTCGGCAGCCAGTGCCAGCGCGAGCCCTGCTTGGAGGCTGCGGCGGACGTCACTCGGGTAAGTATGCAGCCCAGGCCCCGTCCCAAACACACACATACGGGCGTCCATGTGTGACATGCAGCCCTGCTGCTTCTTCGGCGACGCACGAGGACCTGAAGCGCCTCGAGCACGAGTCAACGCTGATCACTCTGCCCGTACGGACGCACACACCTTCAGACAGATTAGCATGCACACGGATGGATTTTTGGGTGGATGTATGCTGCATACAGGACCAGAGAATGCGCTCAGGGCTCCGGCTGGATGCGGGATCTTACATGTGAGTGAGTGGCGTGTGTTGTGTATGGCACACAAGTAGCGTATCCGTGTTGGTTGGGTGGGACATGCAGGATCCCGCGTGCCGACAAGCAATCGACAGGAGGAGAGGATGACGGGTCGCCGCCTATGGAGCTACTACAGGGGAATCGCTGGGGCAGACGGTATGCGATGAGTAAGACACGCATACTTGCACATATATCTACCTTGCATGTGTCGTATGCATACATAAATGTGTGTCTGCAGAGCGTCAATCAACATGCCCGGCAGCGTTAGTGACAAGTACAAGGCGTGAAGCACATGCGTCCATGTGCTGGGTGTGTGTGTATGTGTGTGTGTGTGTACAGATGAGCAGTGCTGTGTCGGCACACCGGAGATTCTCGGTGCCAAACGGCCACCACCAGACCACTCAGCCAACGTATGCACGTGGACGACACACAAAAGCGTACGTCTGTCTGCCATCGTGTGCCCAGGGGCGTGACTGAATGGCCGTCATCAGTCACCGAAAAGCTGCAGAAAGCCGACGTGGTCGCGAGACTGACGGACCTGCCCGTACGCAAGCAAACACACAAGCACATGCAAACCCAGACACAGACGTATGTGTGCCTGGCCTGCACAGGACCAGCGCGAGAGCACCGGCCTCCGTCTGTTGGCTGCTGCCTTCGAGTACGGATGCTGACAGTGTGCATACCCAGATACCTGTGGCCATACGTGTGTGCAGGATCCAGGACCCCGACAAGACCAACAAAGGAGGAGAGGACTCCTCTTTCGCCTGCATGGACCGGGGTAATGCACATACGATTCCCACGTCACTTTCATGGACGAAGGCATACACCAACATGTGCCCACATGAATGCAGGCAACGGCGCTGTGGGGGTGGCGGACGGTGTTGGTGAGTGGGCCGCAGGATAATATGGCATCAATCCAAAGCCGTAAGCATGCCTGTCATGGACACGCCACTCACTGCATCCTTCTGCGTGTTCCATGGATGAATCAATGTGTCCCTGCACCCACGTTCGCCGACGAGCTCATGAGGAGATGTGGACAGCTGGCTGGCATCGCCCTCGCCAACAGCACCAGCAGCGCACGTAGCAGCAGCAGCAGCAGCAGGGAGCCCCCAGTGCAGCCGCCTCGCGAGATCGCCCTTCAGTACGAGCAGCATGTGTGTGGGTACACATCCATCCATTTGCATGTGTGTTGAGCAGCTTTCTGTGGGGATCGCTGCCTTCATTTTATATTTGGTGGTCATTTCCTTCGCCCGCTGACGCGACGCCGGGAGAAAAAGAGAGTATCGACGTCATTCAGTGGTCAACGCCGGGTCGTGACGACAGACTGCCCACTGAATGCTTAACGAAGGGCGCACACAGTGAGGCAGACCGAGGGAACGGAGAGACATGCTTATCTACACATGTCTCCCTCTCCCTCTCTGTGTGTGTGTGTGTCTCTGTGTCCGTCTGTGCAGCTGTTGACCTTTGATGATGAGCAAGCCTTTGGATGTCGTCGAGCGGGCCTTTGGCGGTCTCGTCATCGACTTGGGCCAAAGCTCGCAACCCTTCTTCCCTCGACCAAAAAACATCCCGCCCGCTCACTGTACTCCACTTCGAGATAGTGTGTATGTGTGTGTGTCTTTTCATGTATGTGTGTAGGGGGAGCGGCTGAGCTACGCCAACCTGGGCGACTCAACCCTCATGCTGCTGAGGTGGGCACATCATAACAACAACAATAACAGTGCCACACACACTCAAGCGCATTGTATGTGTGCAGACGCCAGGAGAGGCAGCAGGTGCGCCCGGTCATCAGGAGCAAGGAGCAGCACCACGACTTCAACCGCCCCTTCAGCTGCAGCGCCCTGCCACACGAGACGAGTGCGACCGAATGCAGCAGAGTGGCGAGGTGAGAAGGGAGGGAGGTGTGCATACACCGTTGTGTCTCTCGCCATGAATAAAATGTGGATGAATCGCATACAGCATCCCGAGAAGGTGGCGGCAATGAGGATGCTGGTGGGGGGAGGACAGCCCGTAAGCAGAAGAGTATTGCGTGTTGACCTGAATGTCTCTTCGCTTCGTTCAGGACTCGCTACGCATGGCCAACACCGAGTGTGCGAGGGTGCGGGAGGGCGACATGCAATCATGGGGGCTCACCTACATGCATTCCTGTGACTTCGTGATTGCAGGCCTCTTCGACAACCTCTTCGAAGAGGAGATCTGCGGGCTCGCCACACTCTCACTCTCGCCACACGATGCAGCGGTAACAGCAGTTGCATCCACACCAAGAGATCCGTCTTGAGTGCGTAGCTGTGTCACATCAGGCGCTGAAGGACTCCGGAGTGGCAGCGCGCGACATCCCCCCGGTCGCTCGCTGAGGCGCTGGCCAGCGCAGCATTTCACAAGAGGTACGTAGCTCTACGTGCGCATACACTCTACACGCGCGCGTATATGTCTGTGCAGCCGAGGGAGAGAGACACCCCATTTGCACGGGCCGCTCGAGCAGATCTCCGGCAGAGGCGTGAGGACGGCCAGAGAAGCGCATTCGGAGAGCGGGAATACCAAGGGGGGAAGGTCGACGACATCACCGTCGTCGCTGCATGGCTGGTGGCTCGATGACTTACCCCTCATGCGTAAGTGCCACGAGGAGCGCTCGATCGCCATGTGGTCACTGTGTGTGACTGTCTGTGCTCTCTCTCGTCAGAATCGCGTGGGTAATCTACCAGCCCCCTCCCTATCCCTCCCGTTGCCTGTTGCCCTCGCTCCGGCCGATTATATCACACCCAAACGGCAAGCGTGAAAGGGAGGGGATGGCAAAGAAGGAATATATCTGTCGCTGCATGTGCTGCCTGTGCCTTCATTTGATGTGTGCAGGCGTATTTGGCTTATCCGCGTGTACTGGCTCAGCTGTGGTTGATCGGCCACCACATCAACTTCGGCGACGGCATGATCCTTCGCCTGTTTCAGCATGGGACAGCATGGGAACGTACTGCGGGCATTCCGAGACGATGATGGCTTCGAGCTTACAATCAACCCGGATTTCCCAACAACCGGCAGCATCTACCATTTATACCCGCAAGATCGGCGAGAGCAGGACCCGCCCGTTTCCAGCAGAGTCGACTATGGGATGATCCAATTCGGCCCAGCTGATTCAGAGTGGGGGCTGGTGCCGGGAAATGCAAGGCTTCGCTATGTGTCTGTGTCATGATTCGTGAAAAATATCATCCTGACGCACTTCAAGACAATCCATCAGATCCACACAACAACTACAGCAGTGGCCAGGTGAGTCGGGAAATGTCAAGAAGAAGGTTGTCTAAATACGCGTCTCTGGTATGTTGTGTGTCATGCACTTAGTTTTGCTGTCGATGCAGAGGCACAGCACATGTAGGGGGTTTATGGCGTCGCGTGTAGCAAGCCGAGAAGGCCAAGGTGGTACCTCAAAGAGCAACTGGTGAGACACAAACAAACAGGCAAACACCCAAACATACACTCGTCTGTCGGCCTGTCTGTCTGTCTCTTTGTCTACAGCGTTTCATAGTGTACCTGAGACAGAAAGGTGAGCGAGAGACACAGACAGACAGACAGACAGACAGACAGCTGGCATGTCTCATGGATTGATTGCTGTGTTTGTTCACCACTCAACAGCGGCCAAGTAGGGTGTGAGGTCGTCCGGACATTCAGCCATTCATCGATCGGTGGGTTGTTCTTGTCTGTGGTTGTCAGGCTGCGTGCCACCGTCGGAACACCGTGACTCATCGGCAACCAACACACCACTCTTCGCCGCTCGATTGCGTGTAACGAAAACCTAAAACTGGATGGACGCACACGCAGAGAGAGACAGAGGGAGAGAATGAGCGTCATAAATGCATTCATACGTATGGCTCTCTGGTGTCTCTCTGTGTGCTCTGTGTCTCCAGGCCGCCACGGCACCAGCAACAGCAGCGGCTGCAGTTGTCCAGACAATCGGTGTCTACATTTTATATTTGACGAGACCCTTAAGGATCTGCAGTCCGGACCGCGTAAGTGGGTCACCGCATAAGCGGGTCAGTTGCGTATGTGGGTCAGCCCATCCCGATCACTCTGTACACAGTCAAAAACGGACCGGATAACCGGGTCACCTCCCAAAGAGACTCAAATCACCCATCCAAACCGACCATTCATGGCTCAAAATGACCGCAAGACGATGAAGAACCTCTCTGTGAAAGAGCGGACCGATGAAAGTGTGATCTCATTGAGAAATACAGACATTTTGTTTGTCATCTTCTGAGATGATCGACGGATTTCGTAAATCTGAGTGACTTCGAGCGAGAAAAAAAGAGTCAATGGGCTTCTGAGAGGCTCCTGTGATTCATTCACAGCGAGAAATCACTCCAAAAGTCGCTGGAAAACAAGTGGGTCAGCTCTGTAGTAGGTATAAGCGGGTCAAACGCGTAAGTGGGTCAGCCATGTACTGACCCACTTACGCGGTCCGGACTGTATCCTGCGTGCCTTTTTGAGTTCGTGAATAAGAGTCTGTGATCCGACGTTGATGACAGGTGCACATCGTTGATGACATGGTTCGTGAGTGAGCGGCATGACATGCATGGTCTTTCAAGGAAGCTTGTTCATGCCTCTCTGCCTGCCTTGCATTCTTTCTTGCCCCCAGTATTGAATAATCGCAGACACTCATCCATCTCTTCCGAGCTCGAGAAGTCACTCATACAGCCCAGCCAATTGTCGGACGATGTGTCCTCAAAATCATCTTGATCAACAAACAACAGAGAGCAAACCTACGTCTGATCAAAATCTGTTGTTTCTCGGCGTGTCTCGTTATGCTTCAAGTACCTCGAACACCATTCACTGCTCGTGCAGACAGCCGCATTGCTTCAGGACCAGCGCAAAGGGGAATTGGGGCCGTCTCATTTTGACAGAAGGCGTTGACAGAAGGCGTTCCGGAGAAGATGACAGATAGAAGCGTGGTAACGAGACCAGGACGGGCACCAGAACCCCTTCAACACGCGCCTCCGCACGTCCACGGGCTCGAAGCAGTCTCGAAGCTCGCAGATCGAACTAGAGGAGAACAGGGTGAATGCCTCAAGCAGGCACCGGCAACTTGCGCCTTGTAGCTCTCATTGCGATAGTGTCACCCTTGACCATGCCACAGCATTTGCCCGACCACCCACCCCTGCCGCCCAGGCCTTCCAGTTGCGCCTCTGAGTCGTGGATCTCCAGGAGCATCATGATGTTCCAACGCATGGCCAATGAGACCGGAATGCCGGCACGCATGACGGTAACCACCACGGGAGGGACAGGAGGGCACAAGCACACCGCTGTCGATGCGATGCGATGTGTGTGTCGACTGATGTTGATGGATGGATGCAGCAGTGGGCGGACTGCGCCTCCCGTATCCTGCGCAGGGCGGAGTACAGGCGGCGAGCTCAGGCGAGCAGGCGCGAAGGGGCGCCATCATGGGAGCAGGTCAGTCAGGGAAAGGAGTCACCTCAGTCACCTTACGCACAGGCGGACGGACAGACAGACAGGCAGACAGACACAGGGTGGGGAGGCAGGCAGACAAGAAAAGGAGGACCGACCGATGGCTGGTGCCTGACCCAATCGACGACACAGCGGCTTGTCTGTGTGTGTGTGTGTGTGTGTGTGCGTGTGTGCGTGTGGTCAGAGTCTGGCTAGAGCCAAGCAGTGGATCGAGCAAGCCGAAGGGCGAGGGTATAAGGGCCTCTCGGAGACCCTTGAGGACCAGAAGTTGACGCCAACATTCCTGCGCACTGGAACACCCACACAGCCACTCCAGGCGTCAGCACAAGGTCGGCGGTGGGGGGGGGGTGGGCCGCTGCACTCAATCGGCAACACGCGGCGCAGGCAGACATGGCTTGTTGTTCGTTGGTTCGGTTGTGTTTGTGTTTGTGTTTGTGTTTGTGTGTCGGGTCGGTTGGCAGTTGCAGGTCGTATTGCGTCCCCTGTGTCGGCCCCTCCCCCGTGCGCACAGCTCACTGCACCACACGAGCAGCAACCACAGACCTCTAGAGGTGGGCGACCAGCACACGCCCCATCACTCATGAACGGCAGATTCCCGGTGCATGTGCTGTGTTGTGTTGTGTTGTGTTGTGGTGACTGTTCAGGTACGGATGCGTCGCCCACGGCGGCTACGACCTCGACGGGCAGCAGCACATCGTCGCGCAACTCGGGTACATACGAACGTCACGCACACGGCGGCCAGGGGCGTACACCAACCACTCGATAGACGTCGTTCGTGTGTGTGTGTGTGTGGTTAATCGTGTCGTGTCGTGTCGTTCGTCAGGGACTGAGCACCTTGGGAGTCCTGGGGGCGGCGGCAGTCCCTCGGCCAAAACTCCACGCATCCGACTTTTGCCCGACACGAGGTCAGTTCAGTGAGTGATTGGGGCGCCGTCACGCAGCCGCACGAACACAGACACTGTCTGTCTGTGTATCTATCGTCTGCCTGTTGTGTGTGCTTCAGTCGGAATGCCACAATGTTGAAGTGGGTGATGCCGGGCAACTACGTCGAGGTGGCGGGGGCCTTCACCAACCGCCCTTGGGAGGCCAGACTCCCACTCTTCAAGTGCCCGCGGTAGACACCCATCCATTCATTCATTCACACACGCCTCTTTCTGCACCTCTCTCACTGTGCTATGCTGTGTTGTGTTGTGTTGTGTTGTGTTGTGTTTGACGTGTGTCATCCCTCCATCCCATCATTTATTCGGACAGGACTGGAGTGTTTTGGTTGTCACTGCAAGAGGCCTTGCCGGGGCTGCAGCCCGGCCGCTATCAGTTCAAGTACATCGTCGACGGCGAGTGGAAGTGCGACCCGTCGCTGCCGACGAAAGACGTAAGTGTCCTCGTGAGACACACACGCACAAATGGATGCAATTGCACATGTGTGTGTGATGTTCGTGTGCAGGACGGTAGTGGCAACACCAACAATAGCATGACGGTGGCGGCAGCTGAAGGTGTCCTCGAGTGGAGACATCCCGCAGAGCGGACCGTCTCACTGGCGGGTGCGCAGCCACACTCACACAGGGAGAGAGAGAGCGACATGGATAGCCATTGTGCGCGCATTCAGGGTCATTCACAGAGCCGCCGTGGGGGCGACAGATGCCGCTCGCCTATGACCCACGGTCAGTGCTGTGGATGAGTGAATGGGCGATCAAACACGTGGATCTGATCTGCACACCTCTTTGTGTGTGTGTGGGTGCGTGCCTGACTATGCAGAGATTCCACCTACCGGATCTCGCTACAAGAAGCCGTCCCGGAGCTGCGGCCCGGTACGGCTGTGGCACACACACGTGGAAAGGTCCGACGAGCGACGTGTGTGTGGTTTGCTGTGGGCCATCAACATGTGAGCAGGGTCACATCAGTTGAAGTACATCGTCGACGGCGAGTGGAAATGCGACCCGTCACTCCCGACACAAGATGTAAGTGTCCTCGCGACACACACACAGAGAGGGAGAGGGAGGGAGAGCTGTGTGTCTGTTTATGTGTACCCACATCGGTGCATTCCTCTCTCTGTGTGTGTGTGTGTGTCTATGATGTGCAGGATGGCAGCGGCAACATCAACAACGTGCTGCACTTCCATCGACCATCCGCACCAACACCATCACCATCACCACCAGCCCCATCACCACCAGCCCCAGCCCCACCAGCCCCAGCCCCAGCCCCAGCACCAACAACGGCACCAGCAATATCACTTCCTGCACGAGTACGTGTGTTTGTTCGTGGCCTGGCCACAGCCGACGAGGCATTAGTTTCATCTGCCCACTGTGCAACCTCTCCGTGTGTGTCCGTGTGTATCACATCAGAGTGGTCATGGCCGTCGTCGCCGTCGCCATCCAGCCGATGAGCCGCTCGACTTCTCATCATTGCCCGACGTGGAGGGCAGCGGCAGCGACACAGAGGAGGACCACGACCAAGGTGAGTGATGGATTGAGGGAGGGAAGAGTGTGTTGGGTGTGAGAACGGCC